CCTGACTTTTACATGAATTGAATTTAAGTGAGGCAGAGTTGTGCAAGGTCACCAGCCTTGCTCTCTCTTCCAGAGTCATCAGAATCCAATGGCAAGACAAAAAGTCAAGATCACTGGCAATGGTCCAGGATGTAGTGGATGACATTGACATCTTTGGTGCCTAACCAAGCTCTAAATGCTCCACAGTGCCTGGGTCATCCACCTTCATGGCTGTTGGAACAAATTGTTCTCAACTACTCTTCTGCCAGGGGAAGTCTTTACGTGCTTGAGGAAGACGTCCCCCTAAATCACCAAAGGGTTTGAGGACTCTCAGTTACCCTCAGCCTGATTTAACCCATCTGCCAAGATGATTTTACTGGGGTGTGGTCATTGCTCATGCTACAGCTTTTTGGAACCACAGATGAAAGTTAGGGGTCACGTAGACACCAAAAGTGGATGAGCAATACTGAAAAGGATTCAGCAAGCCCTCACACCAGAGGTGCTAGTCCTCCTTGAATACCACCTTGAAGACCTCAACAAGCCTTACCTAGACTTCAAGCTATTGTCCTGCATCTCTCCTCCCTTCTTCAGCCAGATTTCTAGAAAACTCTGTTTATATTTGGAGGAAATTGCTTCCATTTCCTTGTCTTTCAAGCCCTCCTCAACGCTTTGTAATTTATTACAATTTCGTGATTACCAATGATCTTTTAATTTCCATATCTGGTGGATTTTTCTCATTTCTCATCCTTTTTGACATTTTTGCAGTATTTGATACTGTTGACAGTTCATTCCCTTGAATATTGTCTTTTGTCTGGGTTTTCATGATGCTACTCTCTCCTGGTTCTCTTCCTACATGTCTGACTACTAGTTTTCAGTCTTTTTTTTTTTTTTACTAACTCATCATCCATAACATACCTCTGAACTGTGGGTTTACCACAAGTCTCTATGTGGGGTCTTCCTCTCTTTTCTGTACTGTCTCTCACTTAATGACTTCATAAGCTCCTATGAATCTATAAAACCTATGCTTATGATTCCTGGTTCTATATAAACAGTCTTAGGCTTTCAGAAGCTCTAGCCTCACATCACCATCTTCTGAATATTTCAAATGAGATGTCTAAGAGATATCCCAGATTCAACATGTCTAAAAGAAAACTTATTATTTTGCCTGAAAACCCCACCCCATTTCTCAAGAATGCCACCACCCTTCCAGTCTCCCATATTTACAAACAGCATTATTTTCTTTGTGTTTTTTTTAAATAGGCAATTGGTGTTAGGTGACTTGTCCAGGGTCACACAGCTAGTGTCAAGTGTTTGGTCTGAAGTCGGATTTGAACTCAAGTCCTCCTGACTTCAGGGCTGGTGCTCTATCCACTGTGCCACTAACTGCCCCAAAAGCAGCATTATTTTCAACTCCTTATTGTCAGTACATATATACAATCGGTCGCCAAATCTTTTTTCCTTTCCATGATGTCTCTTGCATTTTTCTCCTCCTCACTACCCATGCAGCCACCCCTGTAAATTCAGTTCTGTCCTGGATTATTACGATGGCCTCATAATCTGTCTCTCAGCCTCAAGCATCTCCCCATTTCAATCCATCCTCCACAGGGCTGTCGAAGTGATTTTTCTTAATAGCTAGTCTGTCCGTGCTGCTCCCTATACACAAAACAATTGCATTGATTCTATGTTTCCTCTAGGATAAAATATAAATTCCGCTATTGGACTCTTAAAGCCCTCACCCCACCTACTCTTCAGCTTCATTGTACATTAATCTTCTTCCTGTATTCTACACTTAAACCAAATTAATCTTGTAGCAGTTCTTCACATACAACACCCCATCTCCCATATGTGAGTCTTTGTAATAATGACCATTCCCATGCTTTGAATATACTACATCCTCACATCTGTCCCATAGTATCCCTTAATTCCTTCTAGACTGACCTTTTACATAAAGTCTTTCCTGATCTCCCAATTGCTAGGGCCTTTCCTTTCCAAATTACCTTGCATTTATTGCTAAACATGTTTTATATGTGCATGCATATATATGCATATTATACACACACACACACACACACACACACACACACACACACACACACATGAAATAGATAGAGTTTCAATAGGTATGAGTAGATAGAGTTTCAGTAAGTATGTATACATTGTTTCCCCTGAAAGAATGTAAACCTTTTTAGGGCAAGGATGGTTTTCAATTTTGTCTTTATATCCTCAGTGCCTAGCACAGGATAGGAAAGGATTAATACATTAAATATATTAATAATTGATTAATAAATGCTTATTGAAAGATTGATCAATCCCCTATCTAAACAGGAACCGGATGACACTTCATTCAATAATCCCCTAGGGCACCAAAGCCTGGCCAATGTGAGCACCTCATTATCTGCTCTACTACCATAAATTCTATGTATCATCTATAAACTCCCCTTCTCCCCCACTCCACCTTCCTACCCCTCGTTTTAGGGAATAGTAATCAAATCAGTATTACAACTGCTACTAGAAATGATGTGATAATTTACTGGGAATCCATTCATAATTACTTTAACTGTCTAAACCACCTCCCAGATACATAATGCATCCTCATTAGTGGAATTCAAATGCCTTGATGGAAAGAATTGTCTCATTTTAAAATTTATCACCAGCACATAAGACAATGCCGGGCATATAGCAGGGATTACATAAATGCTAGTTGATTATTTGATTGAAAGTAGGTGTTTCTATGGCTATTATGGAAATACGTTTTGCATGATTTTACATGTATAATTGATAACAATATCTGGCAATAGCTTGCCTTCTCAGTGGGTGTGAGAAGGAGGGAGAGAATTTGCAACTCAAAATTTAAAAAGAAATGAATGTTAAGAAATAAGTAATAATTTAAAAAAACAGAAAGCTCTAAATAAATTTTTATTGGGTTATAAATATTTTACTATATTGTGTATACTATATTAGATTATATACATATATATATACTATGTCTATTATACATACTATATTAGATTATATATACTATATCTATTATATATACTATATATTATACTACATAGATATTTTACAGTATAGTTTGGGTTGAGAGACATTATTCTAGGGATGGGAAGCTTTTACGGTCAATGTCTAAAACCAAGAAGTCAAAGAGTGGAAAGTCTACACCAAATGAAGAGACTTAAAGTGGAGGCTAAGAGATGTTAACCAAGTCACATATGGAGGAATCACCCAGGAGCTGGACTTACTGTCTTAATATGTTGGTTATTCCTATCTATTGCCATAGCTCTTCAAGCCATGGGGAATGGAAGAGGATGAGAGGAGGCATGCCAGAGGCTTGAAATTCACATTTTCCAACCCAAATTGTACCATGGTCAATAGTATCTATAATAAGATGTACTTCTCTTGGCTGGCCACCACCATCCTCCCAATCACCTAGACTTGTCACCTAGGTATCATCCTACACTCCTCTGTCTCTCTGTGTCTGTCTCTCTCTCTGTGTCTGTCTCTCTGTCTCTGTCTCTCTCTCTTCCTTTCTCCATCTCTCTGTCTCTGTCTGTCTCTGTCTGTCTCTCTCTGTCTGTCTGTCTGTCTGTCTCTCTCTCATTCAATCAATTGCTTAATGCTGTTGATTCTGCTTTTGGGACATCATGGAATTCTTAGCCATGAAAATAACTATACCTAATGGAAAAATAGTGATTACATAATTTTAGTAGGTGGGAAAAGTCTATGAAGAAGCATATAAAACCCTTCAAATTAAATAAACATACTTGGTTATTTTGATTCAAAGGCAGGCATAGGGAAGGACAGCAAAAAAAAAGTTGAACAATATGGCTGAAGATTAAGAAATGAAAGAGATCAAAAGCTTGTAGACTATACCAATGTCTAATAACTATTTCATGAATACTGGCTTTGAAGAGGATTGGGAATCATGATATAGGGCAAAGCACCAAATGAGTTAACACATAAGAAAATGAAAGACCATGACTTTACAAATAGGAAGAAAGTAGATACTGACGTGGGGGTCAATTCCAATTCAGCAGTCTGTGTACAGTCAGACTTTTAGATCAAAGATCAAAATTAACACCAAGTTACGAAAAGAATAAATATGAGAAGAAAATACAGCATGCAATTAAATAATCTTCAGCCTAAACTGTTAGTTCTGAAACAATGGGAAATAACTTCTAAACAAAAAGACATTGACAGATTATGTCCATGTTTTCAAAGCAAATGTAGTCAGTGTAAATCAATTTCCACAATGACATAACCAAAAAAAAGTCTAGCAATGACAATAATAAGTGGTATTTATATACTGCTTCAATATTTACTTATATTATCTCCAAACCACCACAGTAAGCTAACACTTGATACCCTTGCCAAGTGGAAAGATATGGCAGCCAAGTCATTTAAGAACATAAATTCATCTGTAAAATCATATTGAAGAGGAAGATGGAAGATTATTATAATAGCTAACATTTATATAGTGCTTTAAGGTTTGCAAAACACTTTACAAATTTCTTATTTGAACCTCACAACAATTCTAGGAGGTAGGTGTTATTATTATTATTATTATTAATCCTAGGAGGTAGGTGCTATCCCCATTTTGTAGATGAGGAAACTGAGGCAGATAGAGGTTTAAGGGACATACCTAGTACCACCCAACCAACTGAGGTGGGGGGAGCAAATCTGAATTGAGGTTTCATGAACCAGACTCAGTTCAATAGCCACTGCTCATCCTAGCTGCCTACTAATTATAAGTAGTATCATCACCTCAGGAGGGAATAAGAAACCAGGGTAGTAGAAGCAGAATAAGTTTGTAGAAAGCTTGGAAAAAGGCTCAATTAAGCCAAATCATCCGAAGAGCATTTAAGAATGAAACTAAAATGAGCAAAACAAAACAGACTAAAATTAGAAAAACATGTCACGCTCCATCACAAAATATCTATGACAAGCTATTTCCCCAGCAATTACAGCGTAACCACCATGTTTGGACTCTAACGTCACAGCCCCAAACATACCATGTGAGGAAGCAGAGGTGGTGTTAAAGAAAACAAAGATGAACTAAACTAAGTTTACCGGGAGGAAGCCTCTGTTGGAGGAAGACCCATTTTGAAGGTATTGAGGGATTGATTCTCAAAATATCTGAGAGAGGAGATGACAGCAAATAGCTTGGAAAAATTAATGGACTTTATTCCTATCCTCCAAAAGTCTACTGAAAATTCTTGGAATGTTTCCTTCTCAAGTTTGGTCATGAAAAAAAAATGCAGTTTGAGAGGGTAGGGGGCATCCAGGACCAAAGGGATTACACTGTCCTTGGCTTGGTGTGCACACTGGAGGGGTGGGTGTAACACTTCTGTCTTATTGACCCTGAAGATGTCCTAATATTAGTGATGCTGTAGTGATGGTAGAGTGATTTCTGGTTTCTCATTTCTCATTTCCCACAAGCTGCATTCCTTGGACTTGGACTCCACCATCCCCCATGCAGTGTACTCCCTCCCCCAGCTTTTCATCTTTTGTGTGTTGTCTTCCTCCTTTAGACTGTAAGCATCTTGAGGGCAGGGACTGTCTTTCTTTTTCTTATTTGTATTCCAGCGCTTGGCACAGTGCTTAGCACGTAGTAGGCCTTTAATAAATGTTTATTGCCTGCCCGCCTGACTGACTGACTGACTAGGTGCTTAGCTCCCTCACTCACCTCCCCTGAAGCTCTGTTAGCAAAAGGAAGTGTGGAACCCAACATCCCAGTGGCCTACAAAATGCCCTGGCCTTTCCCTTCTCAGTCATTTTCTTATCACGTGTTTGGAAATCTAATGTTTTCAATGAAGGAGCAGTGGATGATGGATATTTAAAGTGGAAATGTGCTAATATAAGAAAGGCAGAAAGGTATGAATAAAACATTTGAAAATGTATTAGCATGCTCTACATCTTCTCCAGCCCACTTGCAAATTTCTAAGGCAAAGCCTAACCTAAAATGAAATAATATGTGAGAGTACTTTGGAGGGAGATGAAGAAATATATTATCTTTTGAGAGTATGGCAGGAAAAAAAAAAAGATAAAAAAAAACAACTTCTCAAAGGCAGGAAGAAAATATACTGCTTGTTTTTAACGACCCTGACCACATCCAACTCAAACTGGTGGATTTTCAAAAGTATTCATTAAAACTCAATTAACAATAGCTTCAATGTGAATTCACTGTAGGACAGAATGAAAATGGCTAATGGGAAAACTGAAAACCCAAGATAAGTGAGCAGAGGGTTAAAGAGCACCTGGTTTACTTAATTTGCAGGTGACATGAAGCTTGAAAGGATCAAGAAAAAATTGGACAACAGATTTACAATCTGAAAATAGGCTAGAATGATGGGCCAAATCAAATAAAATGGAACTTAACAGGTATAACTATGAAGTCCTACCTACATGAGGGTTTTTAAAAAAAATCAACTGCTGTGTTTTTTTGCTTATTTTATCTGTTTATACAGTTTTTAGTAAAAAAAATAGCTATTTTGTTTGAGATGATCCTTTTTATATTTTCATGGGGAGTAAGGTTTTCTGAATTGCAAGTATTTGAATTATGTGCATATCTGTATAATTATCTGAAACCCAAAATATGCTGCTGATACATCAGTACTTCTGTAATGAAACTACTCATTTTTGAGCATACCTACAAAAATATTGTCAGCTCCAAATACAATATGTATCGTTTTGTCTTATTCCTGTAAAAATTAAAGGGCATTTGAGATAAAAAAAAAAAGATCAACTTCACTAGTACACAGTAGGGGGATACTTAGCTGGACAATTATTCACGTGAAAGAGACGTAGGCATTCTGGGCTACAAGCTCAAAAACAGTATGATTGGCTATTGAAAAAGGGATGGATTTCTATTTTTATGAGAGCTTTAAAGATTATGGAACATATTCCTCACAAACACCCTGAGAGGTTGTTAGTGAGTGTACTATTATTCTCATTGTACAGACAAGGAAAATGAGGCCCAGAGAGATGGGATTTATCAAATCACACAACTAGTAAGAATCAGAGAGCTGTGATTTGTGCCCATTTCTCCCAATTCTAAGACCAGTACTCTCTCCATCGCTCCATGCTGCCTCTAATTGCATCAGCAAAAATAAACAAACAAATAAACAAAATAATGTGATCTTGGGCCTGGTTAGCAGAGAAGTTATATCTAGATAGAGGGAAGTTAATTTTGCTAATTTGTCATTAATGAGTTGTTTAGTGTTCTGCTGTACTGGCCAAAGCACACCTGGGGTCTTATGTTCAGTCTTGAGTGTCACATATTTACAAACTGGAGTGTGTCCAGAGAAGGACAAGTATAATGGTGAAGGCCCTTGACATTAAGCCATAACTGGATATTTATAGCCTAGAAAAGAGAAATCTGGGGGAGGGAGGGTCATAATAGTTGCCTTCAAGTATTTTCACATGGGAGAAGGATTTGATTCATTCTGATTGGCTCCAGAGGACAAAGGAAGAGCAGGAGTCTTAGACAGAGGCATTTTTTTTTTCAGTATGAAGAAAAAAATGTCTTAAGGATTACAGCTTCCCATAGCAGATCGGGCTGACTTAATTTGGAGTCACTGGAAGACGTCAGCCTAAAGTCAGGTATGCACTTGACTATGTATATTATAGAGAGGGTTGCTCTTCAGATAAAGGTTGGAGATCCTACTTTGATATCCTGTGATCTCTCTGATTCTCTCCTTATTAGCAACAGAATGTTTTCAGTGTTTCTTCTGAAGAGAATTACAAAATATGTTACACAATGTAGGCTTCATAAGAACCTAGATCAATAGCTGGAAAGGGACCATCTATTACAACCCCTCATTTTACAGATAATAAACTGAGGCCCAGTGAGGTGAAGAGTGACTTGCCCAAGGTCCCAGAAGAAGGGAATATCCGGTGGAATTTGGAGCCAAATCTTCTGACTCTAAATTCAGCACACTTTCCATGGCGTCACATTTCCACCGAGAACATAATCTGCTTCTTTTGATTTGCTCCATGTGAAGCCATAGCAACATTCTAGCATCCTAAGAGGAAGCAAAGGCAATTACTGGTTTGCCACAAGCACTCTTACTCATGTTGACAGGCGTCTTTACTGAAGAGGTTGGGCAGACCAACACAGACACCTAAATATGGGAAGGGAGAAAATGATGGCGTCAGGATGTGATAGAATAAGCACTGGTTTGAGGATGAGGAATGCTGAGTTCTAACTCTGGCTCTGTCCTTAACTAAGCTGTGTGATCTTGGGCAAGTCACTAAGTCTCTGAACTCTTAAAACAGGTGACTGAAGAGAAGGTGGATTAAATATCCTCCAAGGTTTCTTTCAACTCTAAAATTCAATGACTCACAACGTAAATGTTTGTCTGATGAATGTGAACCAACCTGGAAACTAAAGAATTGGACATTTGCAAAAAATTCTACCCTAATTTTGTATCCCCAACTTTCCCTTTTCTCCCAACCCAAAAAGGAAGGAAATGAGCATTTAATAAGTGCCTACTATGTGCTCAGCTCTTTACAAATCCTATTTCATTTGATTCTCACAACCCTGGGATGTAGGTATTATTATTATTCCCACTTTTACAGTTGAGGAAACTGAGATAGAGTGATTTGCTAAGGATCACACAGCTGCTAAGTGACTGAGGCTGGATTTGAATTCACTAATTCTTGACTCCAAGCCCAGCTACCCAGTTGGCTATAACTTTATTTTTATTTTTTATATTTATATTTTATTTTATTTCTCCTGAGAAACGGAAGACTTGCATCTGACAAAGCCAGGTGGCAAAATAGAAAGGGCCCTTTGAGAGACTGATGTATACCTGTAGGATCTACATTGAAATGTTTAGGACAATTTAGGATTATAGGTTAGGATGAATGAATGAATGAATGAATGAATGTATGAATGAAATAACATTGAAAGCTTACTATGTATCAAGTACTGTGCTAAGCCCCTGGGAATACAAATGTAAAAGCAAACACAAAACCTACCCTTCAGGATGTTACATTCTAATAGTAGGACATATATATATATATATATATATATAGGGGATTCGGGGACCAGGGAAGGATATTTGGTTTGGAAAGTCACAAGAAGATAATCAGAGCTGTAGATTGACTTAGCCTTTCCAAAAGCAATGAAGGTTGATCTGATTATGGTTCCAGGAATTGGGGGTGGAGGGCAGGTTGCATAGCAGCTAAAGAGGAAATGGTCAGGGCACAAAATGGCAAATGGCTGGAGTGGAGCCTAAAAGTAGTGGGGGACTGAAGCAACCACCAGTCATTACAACAGGACCCCAGAATGAGAGCTCTGGAAATAATCGGGTTTAGACCTCAGGGGGTTGTTTTCTGGTGTGGCCAACATGGCAGATGGGGAGATGGCCCAGAGTGAAGTGAAGTTGGCTGGAAGCAGGCTTTGATATAATGTTGACTGGGGTGTTAGAATTGGAAAAGAACTTGGCAACCATCTAGTCCGACCGTATCATTTTGATGAGGAACCGGATGTCCAGGAAGGGTAAATGACCATTTGCGGGCAAGCCTCAACGGTTCAGCAGTATTGCCTATTTTCCTTACAAGATGAGTAGTCAGGTATCATGCTGACAAGTCTTCCAAAAACCATAGGAAGCTGAAATCAATTCTTTAGGCACTGTCATTGTGAATTATATCCACGAACTGAAGTCAAGGTGACTACTAGCAACTTAGCTGTGGTCGAAAATACTTGGAGGACATACACGTCTTGGTTTTCTTTTCCCTACAGCAAGACTCCAGCTAGATTTCAGCATCCAGAGAAATATGAAAAACACGTTAAGAAGCCTAAGTATTTTGGAGAGTGCTACAAATTGGTATTATTTTCATTTTGATATTCTACAGAAATTCAATTGTTCAGACAGGTGGCATTCAAGATTGAGGCCCACAGGAGACGTATGTAAAACAAGCCAAAGACAGCTGCTAGATTATACCTTGATTCTGTCTCAGAAAGCCTTTTTTTTCCTAAGGCTAAGAATAAAAATCCAATTCCAGATAGCCCTAGATTTTCCAATGTGGGAAATAAGAAGAAGACTAATAATTCGATATAGTTTTGTATATTCAAGCATTAAAATAAATGGATGAACCAATAAGGATTTATTAATCACTCTTTCTATCTATCTGACCTCTCTTTCTCTGTCTCCTTTGCTGAATCCTCTTCCAATTCACACCTTCTAACCTTGGGTGTCCCCAGTTCTGTTCTAGGCTTTCTCCTTCTATATTATTTCACTTGATGATCTCATTAGCTCCCATGGATTTAATTAACATTTTCATGCTAATGATTCTGAAATCTGCCTTCCCTACCCCAGTCTCTCTGCTTACCTCCAATCTTGCATCTCCAACTGCCTCTCAGACATCTCAAGCTGGATGTCCAGTAGACATCTTAAACTCAACATGTCTAAAATTGAATTTATTACTTTTCCTCCTAAATTCTCTTCCCCTCCTACCTTCCTTATTATTGTTGAATGAGGGCAACATCATCCTCCCAGTTCCCCAGGTTCACAACCTAGGAGTCATCCTCAACTCCTCACTCTCTCTCTCACCCTCTCTATCCAAGTTGTTGCCAAGGCCTGATGATTTCACCTTTGCAATATGTCTCAATTACTCTGCCTTTTCTCCTCTGACATTGGCAACATCCTGGTGCAGGCCCTCATCACCTCATGCTTGGACTTTTCCAATAGCCTGCTGGTGGGTCTGCCTCTCTCAAGTTTCTCCCCACTCTAATCCATCCTCCATTCAGCCACTAAAGTAATTTTCCTAAATCAGAAGTATGACCATGTCACCCTCTATTGCCTCCAGAAGCAAATACAAAATGCTCTGTTTGGCATTCAAAGCCCTTTATAATCTATCTACCTCCCACCTTTCCGGTCTTCTTATACCTTCCTCCTCAACATGTATTCTTCCGTCCAGTCCACTGGCATCCTGGGTGTTCAGTGAATGAGACACTTCCTTAGCTCCAGGCATTCTGTCTAACTGTCCCATATGCTTGGAACACCCTCCCTCCTCTGATCTGACCACTGACCACCCTGACTTCCTTTAAGTCCCAATTAAAATCTCACCTTCTACAGGATGCCTTCACCAACCTCTCTTAATTCTAATGCCTTCCTTCTGTTATTTCCTATTCATAGCATATATAACTTGTTTATACATATTTGTTTGCATGTAGTCTCCCCCATTAGATTGTAAGCTTCTTGAGAGCAGGGTCTGTCTTTTTCCTCTTTTTGTATCCTCAGTACTTAGTACAGTACCTGGCACACAGTAGGTCCTTAATAAATAATGATTGATTGATTGATTGATTTCTATGTTCCAGGCAGTGTGCAAAATGCTAGGCATGCAAATACAAAAGTTAAGAAGTCACTTCCTTCAACTACTTATAGTCTAATAAGAAGAAACAACATATTTAGGGCAATGGTGGCCAAAGAAGGGTATTTTGGTTGAGAAAAGCACAGAGGTGGTGAGTGAAACAATGGAGCAGTTCACTTGCCCTTTCCAGAATAATGGTGGTGTTGATTTAAATTTATGGAGCAAAAGCTAGAAAGTGACTGGGGGGTGGGGATGGGGGTGGATATGGGAAGAGGGAAAGGTCATGGTAGGGTGGAATATGGTGGCCTCAAGGAAGAAATATGGTCACAGGGAGTACAAATCTGAGTGGTTTGGGTTCTCCTCATTGTTATCTGGGGAGGTATGGTTTGGATAGTAGGGCAGCAGCTGTTGGCAGAGCATAAGACAGACACAGCCTTGTGGCACAGTGGTTAGAGCATTAGGTCTAAAGTGAGTAAGAACCAGCTCTAATCTGGCCTCAGACACTTAATAGCTGTGTGAACTTGGGCAAGATGCTTAACCTCTGTCTAGCTCAGTTTCTTCAACTGTAAAATGTGGGTAATAATAGCTCTCACCTCTGAGGAATGAGATAATACTCTTAAAGAGCTTAGCACATAGCATGAGCTTAGTAAATGCTTGTTTTCTTTCTTCCAGACTGAAGAAGAGATATTCATCAACTGAATCTGTGATAAAATGGAAAAAAATTGTATGCTCTCAGATAATGGAATATTTCAAATCTTGGAAAGGGAAGAAGTGGGAAAGAAGGTAGCCTGCAGTGAAAAAATTCACCTTTTTGTCAGATGATCAATAAACTCCAGAGAAAGATACTTTGAAAAATAAACCTGACTGGTAAAGATTGACTTTAAAATAAAAAGAAATGAACCAAGCTCCTGAATACATGGGTTTGGTTTTTTTTTTCCCTCTTAAACTCAACGTCTCCATCTGTGGTATCATGAATAATTGTGTTCTGCTCTTATCATATTCTTTCTTATATTTAACACCTGATGATGTCATATTCCTTGCCTGTTTATGGCATAGTCATGTGTAATGTCTGACTAGTTTCAACCAGCAATAATGATGTGCCTGTGGTGGATTAGATACCAGTCATATTTATAGATCTATTCAGATTAAGATGTTCTTCTTAAGGCTGTCCTGCTCCTTGCAGCCCCACCCCAGGGCTGCACAGGGGCTATAGCTGGGCAGGGTGTGTGGTGCTGACTGAAGCCTTCTCTTACTCATAGTCCTGGAAGGGAACTTAGATTTAGAGCTGGCAGAAACCCTAGTTTCTGGTCCAGTTGCTCTCATTTTACAGTTGAGGAAATTGAGGCCTAGAAAGGTAAAGTCCCTTGTATGCAAGTCCTAACTGTCAGACCCAGGATTTAAATCCAGTCCCTCATCTAGGTGGATACAGTGCTGGGCCAAGAGTCAAGAAGACTAGCCTTCATGAGTTCAAATCTGGCCTCAGACACTTACTAGCTATCTAGTCTAAGTGTCTAGCTTAACCCTACTTGCTTCAGTTTCCTCATCTCTCAAATGAGCTGGAAAAGGAAATGGCAAACCCCTCTAATATCTTTGCCAAGAAAACCCCAAATGGAGTCAAGAAGAGTCATATTTAACTGAAATGACTAAACAACCACCTGAACTTCAGGTTTAGTGCTCTTTCTATTGTATCACGTTGTTTTGGTTGGCGGGTGGGGGTCGGGGTGGGCAGGACAAGCTATTTAAGTACAAAATAGGCTTTAACCAGTAGATTCCGGGCAAAGGAAGGACAACATTATGGCAGAATTAGGCAGAAATCAGTGGCTAGAGATACACGTCTTGGAACTGAAAGAGCCAGGCAGTCCCGATGTCTGACTTGGAAGCCAAAGCTTGCACAGCTCCGTTGATTTCAGAGCTGCATTAGCCCAAAAGCAAAATGGTCCAACAATGAAGTTAGGAGAAACCAGTGGGAAACAGATTCCAAGGTTGAAGAATCAAGGCTTTGGTGTGGGGTGAGTAATAGGGCCTCTTGCTAGACAAAGAAAGCTCTGATTGACCAGGTTATTGGTTCATGCAAGTTTCTAAGCCAAGCTGAGTAGAGCCAGGCCTTGTCCCCCAGCCTCTCCTAAATTTCCTGCATGTGGAGATACCTTGCCATGGCTACAGCTCTCATTGACTTCCATAATATAACTCTGAAATCTATATGTTGGCAGACAGTAACCTGATTTTCATTTTTGTTGTAGATTATTCAATTTGCTTCCAAATAGTAAACTGAATCCATAAAATCAATACTAGGCTTGTTAGTATTAAATGGACCAACTAAGTGCATTATTAACTGTAGGACATTAGATGCCATACAGAGAATTGAGAATTTTTATCACATATTGGTAAATACATTCAACATGCGACAATTCCTCTTATATTATTATCCTTATTTATTTCTAATATCATTTCTCAATATTTAAATAGTCAATGATATACCATGTAATGAGTGTTGCTAGCATTATTATTGCTGTTATTATTAGTCAACATTTACACAGTTTTAAGTTTTGCATAAATACCTTATCTCACATAACCCTCCCAAACAACCCTGTGAGGTAAGTATAGTGGTATTGTCAACTCCATTTTGCAGATGAGGAAACTGAGGCTCACAAAGGAGATGTGATTTGCCCATGGGGTAGGATTTGATTTTAGGTCTTTCTGACTCCGAACCCATCCATGCTAAACTCTTGTGAAACTTCAATTAAAGTAAATATTATTGGAAATGATAATTACCAAAGCAAGTTTCAGATGCTTGAGTCAAATCAAAGTATAGAGCATAATCATGGTTACCTGACTAGGAAGGTAGATTAAAAAGAAAAATCTCAATTTTTTCTTGGTTAGGAGCAAAACAAACCTCACTAGCATCTATAATTTGTCTCTACCTAGACACTAAAGACTCTTTGACTCTTTCCTCTACTAAACACCATCATATGGGACAATGTTGGGACTGAGGTTTGATCCTTTAAAGGGATTCAACACAAGATCCTTGCCAAAGCTGAGTCCATGCCTACCACTGATATACTATGTTACCTTTCTTGAAAGGTCAATGGACTCAGAGGCAGGAGACCCAGGCTAGTTCTGATTCTGCCACTAATTAACCATGACTTTTAGCAAGTCACTGCCTCAACAAGACTTGGTTTCCTCAACTATAAAATGAAGAGTAGGGACTAAATCATCTCTGAGGTCCTGTTGAGCTTTAAAATGGTATTAATTTGATATAACTAATGGTCTTCCTGATTCAGTGATTTTTTAAAATAATGGAGTGTTTGGGCACTTATGTCTACACACCATTTATGTACTGATCAATGCAGTGAATGTGAAGGGAGGTGAAATTTAAATTGATTGTCAGTTCGTATAAACAAATAGCAGGTGGATTGAATAGATATTCCATTTTTCAGTTACTTCTGTGACATGAAGAAATAGGGCTTTATCTCATTTTAAACCTTGAAAAGTAGATTTTGTGGCTGTGATAAATTTTAATGGTTCATGTAAGGAGATGCCCCACCCACTACCCTTGGAAAGAATTATTTGGACTGGGGACTTCCAATCTTTTCATAAAGAGGTCTTGAGATCACTGAGGTGGATACCAATAGTAGAGGATGAAAAGCAATGCTAGCAATGAAATACAGGCCAAGGAGGAATAGACAAGAGTAAAAGTTGCTGGAAATTATCTTTAGGGTTGAGGAAAAAGAGATGCTGCTGCTGGCTGCTCTCTGAGCATCATTCTCCATGAAAAAGCCCAGGAAAGAGGGAATTAAGGGAGTGTCTTGTCTAAGGGGACAAAACACTTCTTACGAGGAAGTCCCACTGGAAGGAATATCTGGGAAAGGATCTACCATGTAAGTGCTCAGTCTACTAGTCTGGTAGCCATGATTCATATTTAAAATTTACTGTGTATTTAAACTTTGTTTTATAACAATGCAATAAGATCATCTAGGTCCTTCAGACACCTGAGAAAATTAAGCTCTGATCTGTTGTGCCATCACCAAATTCTCCTCCTCTGCTCAAAACTCTTCCGTAACTCCCAAGTAAATTCCCTACCAAATGAAGTTCAAACTCCTTAGTCTGGATCACAATGTATCTTTCTTGTCTTATCTCACATACACACACACACACACACACACACACACACACACACATACACACATATAGATATTTTATATATATATATATGTCTACATAGTGGTCTCCAACTAGACTAGACTATGTTCCATGTAAAGACTGAGGTTTCCTATCTCTCTGCCTTTATTCACACTGAACCTCATGCTGTAAATGCCCTTGTATTCTGCCTAGGAAAATTAAGGACTTGAGTGGATTATTGGGTCTTGAGCTCTGTCATACAGAAGAGGGACTACGAACAATGATGGGGAGTAATGATCATTTCTTTGATCCAGATATTGTTGGTTAGTTATTCATGTGTAAATGAGGGTTACCACTCAGTACTCCACCAGGAAATAACCAAAATCAGATGGCCAGTACAGAAACCAGATGACTTACTCATGCAGAACTGAGACTTGAGTTTTAGAAATGGGAATTGATTTGTTTCTTGGCTTGTGGGCAATTAGAGCAAGGGAGAGCTAATAGGTAGATCACATAAGATAGCAAAAGGGGTCAACAGTGCCTTTCTTTAAGACTGGGATAGAACCAGTGTTTGCCAGAGTTTTTCCATCCCCTGCAAGATGGATTAGGCTAGTTCTCTCTAAAAGGTGACAGAGCTGTCGCTAGGACTCGATTGATCCCTTCACCTACCTTGATGCATCTTCCTAATGACTTCTGAATATATTGACATGGCTATTCTGATCACCTAAGGACATAAAAAGACCTACCCCCATGGAACATGGAACATTTAGACATGTGAGTCACCACACCCTGCCCTATTGACCAGATGCATTTCCACAAGGAGGTAAGGGGAACTGTGTCTATCCAAGTATCCTTGTTGAATATTCTTTCTATGTTATAGCTAAGTAAGCTTCCTTTTGTTAATTGTTCAATAACCTATGAGTGTCTTATTCCATTCCAACTTTGGACTTAACAGGGTGCCTGTGTGAATCAGGGCCTCCTTTTCCTCCAATACATGACCACTAAAGAGCTGGGACTTGGGAACCAGATAAAACAGAAGATAGGGGAGTTTATTTACGATTTAAAGTAAACAACAACAACCTTAACAATCAGCTGCGGAACATACTAAGGCAGACTAAGCATGGATGAGACCAGTCATACTCTGCAGAAAGCTCCTGAACCAGAGTGAACCTCAAGGTCAGTCATAATAGAGAAGAAGAAGAAGAAGAAGAAGAAGAAGAAGAAGAAGAAGAAGAAGAAGAAGAAGAAGAAGAAGAAGAAGAAGAAGAAGAAGAAGAAGGAGGAGGAGGAGGAGGAGGAGGAGGAGGAGGAGGAGGAGGAGGAGGAGGAGGAGGAGGAGGAGGAGGAGGAGGAGGAGAGGAGAAGAGGAAGAAGAAGAAGGAGAAGAAGAAGGAGGAGAAGGAGGAGGAGAAGGAGGAGGATCTGGAGGAGAAGGAAGAAGAAGAATTAGCATTTAAATCACAACTTTAAGGTTTATTAAGTGTTTTGTGTGTATTATCTCATTTGATCCTTAAGGCATCCCTGGGAGGTAAGTGCTATTATTATTCTCATTTCACAGATAAGGAACCTGAATCTGAGAAAGATTAAGTAACTTG